CCAGAATGACAGTTAATATAATGGGTTTCCCTGCACCCACTTCACACATACTGCGTATGTGAAGAATGTATTTGACCACAAATGGCACTCTTGTTATGATGACTTCTACTCCGTATCTTGTCATTTCAACAGGTGAACAATTTCTGAAAGAAATGCTGTTGCAAATCCAATCTTTTTATGACTATTATCCAATTTGGATTTGTATCTGCATACCAAAATGCCCCAAAATCCAAACCACAAAAGACTCAACTTAATAGGAAAGTTTCTGAAGGATACACTTATGTTCACTGTAATTTTGAAACACAATTTTGCTGTTTCCTATCTATGTTGAATATAACATATATATAACATAACTACCTATCCTAGATGCAACCTAGTACAGTATAAGAAATTTGGGGTGGTAAATACTCAGCAGTGCTGCTATACTGCACTTATTTTACTGTTGTTAGCCACTCTGAGCCCAGCTTCGGGTGGGGAGGGCAGGATATAAATAAAATTTTATTATTTTATTATTATTTATTATAAAAACTTCCCTACAATAAAGGATGCATAGCAGCAGGTGGCTTCCACTAAGACCTGGATATGAACACTACATTAGTTATTAATTCACATATTACTGCTTTAGATTCAGCTGGCATCTGCTGATTCTTTGGCCTCCCTGATTAGGAACTCCTCAGGCTTCAAAATTCCCTTTCCTATTTTGCTACCTTTAGCCAGACCTTCTGATCCTAGACACTGTGTGAGTTTTGTGCCAGTGAGACCCCCGTGTAACATATTTCCCAACAAATGGCTGCTATCGATGTCAGCCCTTGGTCTACTCAACCTCTGTTTTCCTGATACAGCGGTACCTCGGGTTACAGACACTTCAGGTTACAGACGCTTCAGGTTACAGACTCTGCTAACCCAGAAATAGTACCTCAGCTTAAGAACTTTGCTTCAGGATGAGAGCAGATATTGTGTAGTGGCGGCGCGGAGGCAGCGGGAGGCCCCATTAGCTAAAGTGGTGTCTCAGGTTAAGAACAGCTTCAGGTTAAGAACGGACCTTCAGAACGAATTAAGTTCTTAATCCAAGGTACCACTGTACTTGACTTATCCCTACGACGGGATTGTGCACACTACACAACATAGACTGTACCTAGTCCCTGTATGATGCCTCTCTCCCATTTGAATTATGACTATCATCATCATTAAGCACAGAGCTACAATTTTCAGTAGTTTAATATACAATCCCTCTTTTCAGGAAACTCTGGAAACTGTAGCTTTGTGAGAGGAATAGGGTCTCCTAACAACTCTCAGCACTTCTAACAAACTACAGTCCCCAGGACATTGGACTTGATGGGTCTTTGGTCTGATCCAGATGGACTCTTCCTATGTTCTTATACTAAGTAGTATCTGGCATTTGACAGGTTATGAGATCCATATTTGAACCCTGCAAACATCAAAATATTAAAGAGAGCCCAATCAGCATAAAGTGTTCAAGTTAAAAATGTGAATTTGAATTTTGCTTCAAAATTTATCATAAAAAATGTCTCAAGGAACTGGATGATTTGGTGAAATTTAAATGTTTGCAAATTACAATTTCACCACCACTTTCTCATCAATCCAGAAAATGCTTAAAATTTAGGTCATAGCATTCAAGTTTTTTTTATCATGCAACCTGTGGCAAAGGGATAGTACCACAAACAGTTAGCTCCTTGAGCCGGTCACCACTCTGGGTTTCCTATTGATTGCGCCCCATCCACCTCCGAACACATGCAAGGTGATATCCAACTAAGTCAAACTCAGAATGGATCCACTGAAAACAATGAGGAATTCAACTTGGAGCAATCTCTTTAGCACCATCAACTCAGGACATCCTGTTTGCTTGATGGAATAATCTCTCTCCTCCCCACCATGCACCGTTCTAGGGGGGGTCTCCTGATCCCTCCCACAAGCCAACTGATGTGGCATGGTGGGCCCACGTGAGGAGAAGAGGGGGTAAAGCCCAGTTGCACTTGCAGAAGTCATTGTGCAGACTTCCGCTAGCAGGATCCATTAGTTGAATCCAGCCGAAAAGACTTACATTCATTGAAGTCAAGGGGTGTACTCTCCAGTATGACAAACAACTGGATATCGCCCATGCACACTAATTGCTATATAGTAAGGCAGGGGACGCGGGTTGCGCTGTGGATTAAACCACAGAGACTAGGACTTGCCGATCAGAAGATCGGCAGTTCAAATCCCCGCAACAGGGTGAGCTCCCGTTGCTCGGTCCCTGCTCCTGCCAACCTAGCAGTTCGAAAGCACGCCAGTACAAGTAGATAAATAGGTATCGCTCCGGCGGGAAGGTAAACGGAGTTTCCGTGTGCTGCTCTGGTTCACCAGAAGAGGCTTAGTCATGCTGGAGCTGGAAGCTGTACGCCGGCTCCCCCGGCCAATAAAGCAAGATGAGTGCCGCAACCCCAGAGTCGGCCACGACTGGACCTAATGGTCAGGGGTCCCTTTACCTTTAAGGCAGGTGACATGATGCTATGAACCTTCATAACACACACACAGACCACAGACTAATTAAGTCATTTAATGTTCTTTCACTTGGTTTTTGTTTATAATGGAATTAATTGTTTCATGAGTCTGGAAGCTATTAGACTGGGTACATATCCACGTTCCTTGGAACGTAATCCAGCCTGCCTCAAATTATCCTGGAAGAGGTATGACTCCAAATAATGGTTGAGATGGAGCAACCGCCCTAATGACTCAAATGGTAGCTGTGAGGTAAATGAATGGCCTGCAGACAACAAAGCACTCAGCACCAGTAAATGAATGTGTAATTTAAGCAATCAGTTTTTAAAAAGGGGGGAGGGGAGGCTGGGACAGTATCCCACTACACTGAGAAGGAAGAGATTGCACTCTGCTGTGGAAGTTTGTAACCACAGCTGACAAATCCGGCTCAAGTGACAGCGCTGAGAGCATCAAAGGCATTGCTTGCTGCCTAGCTGGCACAGTTTATCCACCATCACTACTCGTAATGCAGCAGCCGTAAATGGATGAAATGCAGCTCATAAAAACACAATAATATGATTAAAATTTACAGCTTCCTTTAAAGTGTGGTTCTGCTTTGAAAAACAACCACATACAGCTCAACAAATTTGTTCCGTGTATATTCTGAATCATCTGTTTGCTTTAGGATTATTTATTTAAATTCATTTCCAATTGTGCATAACCAGACTCAGAGCAAATTCCAAATCATTAAAGCGCATCTAAAAAAAAAAAAGTGTGTTGGCTGGGGGGGGGGACAAATCCAAACACAGGCACTAAATTTAAAACAGATTTCCAACACAATGAAACCTTCTCAAGCATAAATACAGCCACCCTTTCTGCATGAAGTGTTTCCTCATCTTCTTTGTCTTTCCCTCAGGAAAAGCACAGTGGGACTAGGTTGCTGTGCATCTTGCACTAAAAGTCACTATCTCTAAGAAATGCAGGATAGCAACTCAAAATGTTAATTCCAGAGCTTAAACACCAGAGGGGAAAAATAATACATGCCATTGCAGCATTTCATGCCTCCTTTTGGCAGTAAAAGACTGGGTTGTTGGATTAACAAACGCTTGGCAGTCCCTACTGACAACCAAAATTTGATTCTGGAATGTGCTGTGTACCTTCTCAACAATTAAGCATATCCTCCATAAACCTTCAAATCAGGCTGGTGGAAAAACCTCAGGTTTGAAGAACCTGCACAATTTGGAGGGAGGGAAACAATTTGCCTGCAAACCTGACAACAACGTAATTTCTTTTAAAAAATAAAGTAAATGAAAGTACGGTAGTTATATTAAAGAGACAGAACACAAAGCATCTTGTTTGTAGTACAAATGTTTTTTTACACACAAAGGAGAGCAGATCTAACAGCCAACTATACTGATGTGATCCCTATAACCATTACGCAATTTTAATCAAGTAAATGGTTTAAAGTTGAATAAGGATTGTATCCAGCGGTGTCCCCCATATTGACAGAAGATGCTTTGAGCCAGCGAACACTTCTATCAACTGAGATGGGAGAGAACCCTGTTCTGGAGGGTTAGGTAACCCTTTGGAACAGCTTAGGTGGTGGTGGTGAACTGGTGATAATCAACTTCCTGTGATGGAAGCCTCTAGGATATAAGAGCCTTCTGCCAGCATAAGGATTGTCATTGGATACAACTCTGACACTACAATGCTTTATCTGCAAGCAAATCCCATTAAACTTGATTTGCCTTACTTCTGAGTAGACATAAGATTGTGCTGTAATTAGGTATCATTAGAGATGGAATAAATTATATTAAGTAAAATAATCAATTTCATTCCTGTACAGTGGTACCTCAGGTTAAGAACTTAATTCGTTCTGGAAGTCCGTTCTTAACCTGAAACTGTTCTTAACCTGAAGCACCACTTTAGCTAATTGGGCCTCCCGCTGCCGCCGTGCCACCACTGCACGATTTCTGTTCTCATCCTGAAGCAAAGTTCTTAACCCAAGGTACTATTTCTGGTTTAGCGGAGTCTGTAACCTGAAGCATCTGTAACCCGAGGTACCACTGTATTATGACCTGAAATTCAGTAGCAAAATTACAAGTGGCATTCATATTGTTCTATTCAAAAAACGAAACATTTGCCCAAAGGAAACCAAAACCTCGGTGCTACTCCTAGGCATAGTTAATGTCAAGTGCTATTTTCCTCAAAAAAGAGGAAACTATCACCTAGTACAGGGGTTCCTTTGCTTATATTATTTTGTATCATTTTTTTTTTACAATCTGAATTCTATGAAACCAAAATTTAAACGTTAGGCAGAAAAAAATCATTAAGTGGTTTGTCATGATCCTCAGCAATTCTTAAGTGGTCCATAGAGGAAAATGTGGCAACTACTGACCTAGTGGAAGAAGCTACAGGGGGAAAAGCATACCTGAAATAGTGGCCGTGCGGTGGAATTGATATTTGACTCCATCTGGGAATGGAAGAACCTTGATCACTGCTTTATTTTCTTTCTTTTTTTACGTATCTATCCCACCTTTCTTCCATGGATCTCAGGGTGGTGTACATGGTATTTCTTCCCTTTCCCTCCTCAGAACAACCCAATGAGGTAAGTCAGGATGGGGAAAAGTAAATAACCCAAAGTCACCCACTCATCTTCATGGCTGAATGAGAATTTGAACCTACATTTCCCAATTCCTAGTCCAGGACAGTTGACAGATTGGATATATTTTACGCTTAGCAATAGTTAACAAAAATAAAGCAAGACTTAACCAAACAAATGCACCTCTTCCAAATACCCATCAATTCCACAGCTGAAAGAAATCTGCAAAGCAAAATAGGAAGCACAATTCACATTCTTGCTTTCTTTTTAGTGCCACTTTAATTTCTGGTAAAATTCCAGATCAGGGGTTTATGTTTCAAGGCATCTCTCCAGAAATCTACCAGGCTCAGTCTAAACAAGGCTTAAAACAGCCAAAGGGAAACTATTGATTCCCCCCCCCCATGCCTGCATACAGTAAATGTGAAAATCCATTGTACATTCCCATAGGATGCATTATATTTATTGTTGTCTACCCCAAAACAAGGGCTCAAGGTTATTGCTTTAAAAGCATTTTGTGTTTTAATGCACCACTAAGTCCACTGAAAGCAAAGATGGTGTGTCCAGCATTTTCCAAGGCAAGAGCACAATGGGTTGTTTCCAGTGGTGTCATTTCGTTTGCAGAAAGATTCCCCCTCTTACAGAAAGCCTGTTTGCATCCTTGCCTGTCAAAATTGAAAGCTTATGTTTGTGCATGGTGTTGCACAACTGCTCCTGCAACTCATTTTGCAAAGTTCCACATCTAAATGCACACCCTATGCATTGCAACAGCAACCGATATATGCACTGAAGGTTGTCATAAGTGAAGTATTTTATTCAAGTATTTCAACAAACAAAAACAGAATGCTCATTTTCACAACACACTTGCACACTGTGTTGGCGTCACATACATGAGGATCAGTGCCTTCATGCACGATGCTGCAATCAGATGTAACGTGGTGTCATAGCTTACAACTCACTGCTAACTTCTGAATTGCAAAACAAGCTGTCTTTTATACAAATATCACATTTGTGTACAACGAATCGATTCAGCAAATGTTGGAACAATATGAAAACCTAACATGGGCGTAGCCAGGATTTTCATGGTGGTGGGTGGGCAGGACTTTGCTAGAGGGGCAGAACCAACGTGATTGGTCAGTTAAGTATTTCTATTGTTTTATTCCCCCCCCCATTGGCTACGCCCATGAAACCTAACAGATAATTCCAATCACAATGTCTACAAAAATACACAACTCCATTCAGCCACTCAATATAAAAAAAAAATTAAGGTTTTAGTTTGCCCATGAGGCTGTGCACTGGCGGAATATGTGGACTGCCATTTCCCCCCCAAAGCTGACACTATCATGAGCCATGTGGAGCAATGTGGCTCAGGCAGCACATAGAAAGGGGTGTTCGACTATGGACCCCCATCTACTGCCGGCACTGCAATTTACCAGTTAGCCAATTGGCTGCCAGACACTACCACCAATCTCTCTTTTCTGTTTACTATCCCACAGGGTTGGTGCCATGGACAATTCTGGCTTCCCCTGAAGAAGGGGAGTTTTCTCAAAATGTTTTAAGGGGATTTTAATTATTTCTAAAGTGCCAGAAAGAGCCAACACTGCAGACACTCCCTGGAGAACCTCATCCACAATAAGGAAGGAACCCTTATTCTCAGAGCAAAGCTGGAAATGCTTGTGCTACCACCATTTTGTCAGCAATTGACTGGGCAGGAGGACTGCAGAGCATGGGAGGGAAGGGGAAGCAACCAGACCAGTCTCAGGCTGGCCCTGCATATTCCGTCTGTAAAACAGAAGAGTATCCAAAACCTCTGTCCTACCTGGCGACAAGTCAGTATATTAAGTCCCCAGTCCAGGGTCATCCACATGTCCAAAGTCTAAGCCAAAGCACAGACCTGCAGAGATCTTGGAGCATCCAAGCTGACATCCATCAACATTGGCAGTCGAGCAGACTCAGCGCCTCAGCTCTGCTGCCCTTTTGTACTTTGCATGCTGATTGCAGCATCTGGGCTTAATGAGGCAGGTGACCCTCACCTGTGCCAAGCCTCCTCCAGCTGAGGAATCACATCTCCTCCCAGAGCTAGCGAGCCCCACCTGGCCAGCAAGTGAGCTGGGCTGTGAGCCCTTGCCTGCCTCAGTCTCTTGGTGTGCCCTGCCCGCTGCTCCCTACACCTCAGAGCAGGCTTCCTCAACCTCGGCCCTCCAGATGTTTTGGTCTACAACTCCCATGATCTCTAGCTAGCAGGACCAGGGCTGAGGAAGCCTGCCTCAGAGCCTGTGGTATTTGTGGAGACAGGGGACCCTCTGGCTCTGGTGATAGGTCCTGCCGCTCTGGTTCCTGTGCAATTCCCCCATTCCCCTCGTTATCCTCCCTCACCCCATACTTCCTACACCAACCTCTCCTTCCCCATCCCCAGCTTGCCCCAGTGTGTCCCAGTCCTGGCCACGGCCCTCACCAGGATCCTCTTGCTCCTCCACATAGTCCTGCCAGTTCACGACAAAGAGACAGGAAGCTTAATTTGTTCCTGTTTTCAGTCTCAACTCAGTAGCTACTCAGTCCTAGAACGAATTATCTGCATAAAAACCAGCTTCTACAATTCTGCAATGCTGTAGCATGACCAACCGAAGCCAGAATGAGGATGTAGAGATAGAAAGATTGGGGCCATGAATTTGCTCAGTTTTCAAGACACAATTTCATTCTGTTGAACACATCAAGATGGCTATAATTGGAGACACAGTTGCAGAGGTTGTGTGGAACCAGACCCTTGCCTTAAGACATAAAAGTAGAGAGCAGTTTGATACGCTAGGGGAAACAGTGGTAGGCCACAGAAGCCCTTTTACTTTCTCCTGTAATTCACTACCATGGGGGAAAAGCAGAGCAGACCCTGTCTTTGTATACATCTAGCCCAGCACAATAACTGAAAATGTATGTTTTAGATTATTCTTCATCCAAGGAATAAGCACAGCCAACCTCTTCATTTTCATGGGAAGCATTTCAACCCCATGACCTTTCTCTTTGTCTTTAAAATGAAGAATTACAAAGCACTGATATATTTGCAAGTGGGCTTCCATTGTTGCTCACTAATGTCAGGGTCCCCTGTGTGAGTTATAGGCTACATGTACAGGGCTCACCAATTGAAGGAAAGTAACAGAAATTCAGGCATTGATAAAATGACTTTCTTAAGTCATTTTAAGAAATAAAAACACATACTGTGCACAATATAGCTGATGTTATATCTTTAGTGCATTTGAATTACATAAATCCCAATCTGAAAATACGTAAAGAATATTTAATTTGCAGTAGCACATAAAAACAACAACATAACTATAGAAAACATAGTGTTGCTCAACTGGCTTTGTACAAGGAGGGGGCATTATTAAGAAAGCACATTGATTCCAATGTTAATTTCCTGAAGAAGTTGCAGTGATACATTAAAATTTTACAGCCAAGGACCATCGGTTTATGTGAGTTTGTTCCAGGATTTCTCTTTTGAGTGCATGTTCTTGTGCTGCTCATGAACCTACATGGCAGAATCATTCTATTTTGGAGCGACATTTTGAGCAACAAGAGTATATGGGACTTCTATGAGGGTGGGGACAGAACCAAAGCCATAATCTCCCATGAACAAGCAAAAGATTTATTCACAACTCATTGGATCCTGAAACACATCCATGCAATGTTAAATAGTTGCAAAAGATGTACACATTATGCAGGTATGCAGTGCTTTTTTCCTGGGGGGGTACACAGGGGTACACATACCCCTAACATTTTGTGAATCTAAGTTTGGCCTCACCGAGGGACAGTATTTCAATATGAGTAGGAAAATGAGAGTACCCCTAAACATTTTTTTAAGAAAAAAAGCACTGCAGGTATGTATTAGGACTACTTCACACTTTCCACAATTAGTTCATAAACTATGGCAAGCATACATGCGGGGTTCGCTACTGCTGCAGTTGTTATGGATACAATTGTTGACAACTGCATGTAGGATTATCACAAATTACAATCCACCTATATGCTTCAAATAAATTCCTACACAGAACTGTGCAATGTATGAAAACTGCCCTTACTGCTCTCCTAGTTCATGCTAACTCTCAGGTTGCATTCTAAGAAAAGCGTCCTTAACAAAAGGCAAACATGTATCTTGAATACACAAAACATTAGTGTATTAGGGATAGCTTCACAAACTGGGGCAATCTCATAGGATGTCTGATTTATTTGTTCTATTTGTTCTGGCATTTGCTCCATAATGGTTGTATTAAGTTATTGTGGTATTTTATATTGCCTCTTTTTACGTCCTTGATAATGTGGGCTCCTACATTTTCAAATTATTGCACCAGAAGAGTTATTACAAATTTCACATGGTTTACTGGAGTGGCATCTCATGAATATAGAAAGGAAAGAAAAAGATACCTGGAAAGATGATTGGATACACACCATTAACTATACATAGATCTCATAGCATTTGAGCAGTATGAGAATATATTCAGTATCCCAAGCTTTCAAAACTTATTTACTACTAAGTTATATTGCATTCAGGGGGGAAATGGCTGGGTTGTTGTTTTTTTAAAGCCATATATTCCATAATGTAGTATATATAAACAATATTAGCATTTTTTTCAACTAAGCAGAAAGATGAAATTGCACACAATGCAATCAATTTATATTTAGTTTCCAGCTGACTTGCAGATCAACAGATGTTTATGTGAAATATGTGGGAAGCATAATTAAGTACATGTGCCGCAAATTCAAATCTCTATCACTCCACATTTAAAAATAAGGGCTCTCTATAAAACACTGCCACTGGTAAACAGATAGGACCAGAACGGTGTCTTCTGACGCATGTAAGTCACCTTCATAAAAATAAACCTCAGGGTTCCATTTTAAATCTATTCAATCATGATCTTCTGGGCTGGAAATATATGGGGCATGGTTGCTTAAAGCAGGGATGGTTTAACTTGGTGCTATCGAGATGCTGTTGGACTCCCATCAGCTCCAGCCAGCCTGGCTAATGATCAAGAATGATGGGAGCTGTAGCACAACGTCTGGGCCTCAAGTTCCCCACCCTTGGTTTAAAAAATAAAGAGGGAAAAGGAAATAAACATTACTAATGTTTGATTTCTTTCTGTCATAAGATTGCGCAGCTGCTTCAGTTATGAAGCTACTACTGTAGTTGATTTCAAGGTTGGAAGAGCTGTCACTGAAGCAAACTTTGGAATCTGCCATCTGCAGAAGGAAAAGCAGCAAAGTGCTAGGAAGAAGAGCTAAAAGACAGAAAAGAAAGCCTTGCATTTGTGCACTTTCATGACTCTGGCTTTACAAGACGTGTTCTCTTCAAATCTTCCACAAGTTTTCAATATGTTAGAAATCATATTTGGACTTCTTTTGCCTTTCTGCCAATTAAATTAATTCAGCCAATTATTTGTGGCACCAAAACAAGTTAGTTTTATGATCAAATGATCATAGTTTATTGAGTAACTATATATACTGTACATGGAGTTTTAGGAATGAATTTGAGCTCTCAAATTTCAGTGGCCCCCTGTGCAATGCTAAAATTTGGCACCACCTGCCTCTCGCACTCCCTTCAACAGCATTGTTTTGGTACCCCCAGAGCGACCTCACCAGTTGCACCATCCTAAAACTGCCTCTGATGGGAGGCCTAATCCTAACAAGGCTAGTTTCATGGGGGAACATGGACATTCCGAAATTATCTTGACTTGATTGTTTTGTGAATGACTCAATCAATGAAATCCAGAGCTTGGCCCCCTTTATTGACTACTGTGCAAATTAGGCCAGGTCTCTGTTTCAATTTATTTCCCTTCATAATTTCAGGAGAGTGGTGCTACTACAGCCAGACTATAACCATTATACACTAAAACAAACAGAGAGGCTGGCAAATAGGATGGCAGGCTCAGTCCAAATATACTACACAGATCATGCCACAATGCTTTGGTGTGTGCACTGCATATATCAATGACAACTAGTTAGGGCCGCCATAAGCATATCCGGCGCTGTGGTGCAAAGCTTCCTCTGGCGCCCCTCTCCCCATTTTCCCAGAGTTTTTTTAGGGAGGACAGCGCTGCCAGTGGGGCTGGAGGAGGCGGGCAGCGGCTGAAGGGCAGGTCCTCTGGTGGGGAAGAGGCAGAGGCTGGACGCGGGGCCTCCTGGCTCAGCTGGATGCTTCATGCCGTGGTGGCCATGGCAGATGGAGGCTCTGGGCCCGGTGCTGCTTTGGCGCGGCATGGCGGAGGCAGGCGAGGGTGGCGAGCTGATGCTGGGACCTGCTGCGTCCAACCTCCGCCTCTTCCCTGGCGCCCTCCAGAACTTGGCACCCTGGCGCCCCACGCCACTAGCCTCTATGGGTAAGACGCCCCTAAAACTAGTTGTACTGCTCCAAGGAAAGATGCCACAATCCCAACCTTAAACCTCCCCCCTCAGCTCCATTACTTTCTCCCAGTACTTCTTGAAAAACTTTTAAACACTGATTAAGTCTGAGGTGAAACAAACAACCGTGTCTTTTGATAAAAAATAAAAATAAAAATCCTCAGCTCTTCCCGCATCCCAAAGAAAGAGTTACTGTTCTTAGGAAACAGCATGTTCCAATGCACTTGATAAATTCTCTCCAAGGGCTTGGCAGGCCCTTGTTTCACTCTTTATCGTTCCATGATATGACTAAGATTTCATTTCATTGCCTCCCCTTTCTTCCGCCCTCAGTGGCATCACGTACGGTGGTGAATGCAAACAGCATTGCCTGTGTCAGAAATGCAGTTTATGTTAAAGACAAGTCATTCAAATAAAGTTTATTTTTAAACTACTTCTTTATTTTCAAAGTTAGATTGCTCAATTTTTTAAAAAGGACGTTGGTTCTGCTATGCAGAAGGGTGCTCTCAGATGCAATCGCTTAAACATCCTATCTACTCTCAAATGAACACACTCTGAGAAGTATGAATCGCTCCATCTGGAAGTGATTACATTTCAGAGGATGTGCAGCATTAAGTAATTTAAGCTTAGTGAAGTGCTTTTTTTTTGTAAATAGACCCTTCAATTAAAACTATGTTTTAAAAATGTTCTAGTACATCTGTTGAAGACACGAATCAATGTATTCAGTTGATGTATAAAAATGAAAACCAACATAATATGTATTTTAAGCAAGCCATGACTTTGTATCAGTCTCAGTAGAAGTACTATGCAGACATGCTGACCTAATCTTTTGCACTCTCCCAGGTTGTTGTGGAAGCCAGGAGAACATTTATCTACAACATATACATTCATTAGCTTAGATCCTAATTCAGCTTCTACTGGCATGAATGTCTCAGCAGCAGCACCTTTGCAGTTACCTCCTGCAGTACCTCCCCACCCCCAAAAAAGTTATGGGGCCTAGTTGTGATCCAAGCCAACACATGTATGCCAGGAATGGGTCATTGTTCAATGGTCGTCGAGCACATGCTTTATGCAAATGGTTTGAAGTTGAATTCCAGGCATTCCCAGGTAGGACTAGGAAAGACGCATCCCTGAAACCCTGAAGAATCACCGTCCATCATTATAGACAAGAATGAGCTAGATCAGGGATAGTCAACCTTTTTATACCTACCACCCACTAATGCATCTTTCTTGATGGTAAAATTTCCTTATCGCCCACCAGTGCTCAATGGAAGGAGGATTCAGCTTGTGCCATAGAACCCCCTATCCTGATCCATGATTGAAGTCATAGGATTGTTGTCTTTCACAGGACAGCATGTGTTTTGACTCCACAGAGTGGGAAGTGACGGAGACAAGATGTTTATGTTACTGTGTTCCATGAAGTGGGACTATTGTCCTTTGTTCTTTTTCTCTTTGCTGTCTGATGCTAGAGAGAGAGGGAGCCATGTTGCAGTGCTCCGTGTGTGTTTATATGTAAATGAAGTAGATTAGCCAAAATGCTGAGTTGCTGAGTTCTGTTACGCAACAGCACAAACTCTGCAGATCTCTAAGTGTGCCGGTATCAGTTGGCATTGGTCACTGTGATGTTCGGGCTGAAGAAAGCTTTTGAAGCTCCCGAAAAATTGACCAGGAGGGAGAGAACATGCCAGTCGGGCATGTGTCTCTGCCAGGGTCCTACTCAAGTGTAGGCTGAACTCCTGACACTGCCCACCTAGAATCCTGAAATGCCCACTAGTGGGCAGTAGGGACCAGCTTGACAACCCCTGAGCTAGATCAACCAATTGTAGTTTCATATACTGCTTTATAGATTCATTGCCTTGGAGTGAGATGAGAAACACTTCTCAAAAAGCATCTCTTGTCAGCATAGTCATATTTCATTCATGATGTCAAACGCATTTAAGAAAGAGTGAAAATCATTACTCATCTTAAAACTCCAATCTGCAAAAATAGGAAAATATTTCCTCCTATGGACAGAGGTGGAAATGAAATGAATGGTACAACAGTGAAAAGATCTAAAGGTGATGTCTTCATAATACACTTCAACCATACTTGCATGAGATGGACCTAATACATTAAGTTCACCAGGCATATACACAGAGAAGGGAAATATAATTCTTACCCTGATTAGTAGGATCTCCCCATTTTCATGCAGCTCCTATATATCTCACATGCAGAAGCAGATTTTGGTTGGTGAGTATAAGTGCAATAGATACAAATTATATGTACAGGAATAGATCAGTCAAGGAAAAGCAAGATACTGCTGTCTGTATCTTTAACGGCTATGTTGAAAGGGGAGTTTTAGCAAATGCAGCTTGAAATTTTGAGTGAAAACTGCTGCATCCATACATTTCCTCTTCAACACAACTGCTATAAGAAACAGAAAACCCCGTCCTCCTGTCGCAGAGCATGCTGGTCAGTAATCACACACTTCAAGGTTGGAGTTAACTCTTTATTAGCAAAAATACGATCTCCACAGGCTTGGCAGAGTATCAGGCCTAATGAGCTCATTCCTAGTGGGTCTTCCTCCATGAAATCAGTTGCTGAGACTGAAGGTCCCCAGCTCCCCACAGCAGTTTATGTCCCCTTCTCTTCAGGGCTCTTTGCAAACAACTGGAGACTGTGCCTGCACACGGCCAATCTCTCCTCTGCCATTTTCATGCCTCTGCTGGTTCTGGGAAACAGGGGGTGGGAGACTTGTTGCAGAAGGGGGAGACACCTGTGACTCTTCACCAGCCTGACTCCCCTCTGCCTTTTGACCTCCCTTGTCCCACTCGCCAGCTTCAGCTTCTAATTCTTGACTTCTCTCTGCCACAGACTCTCCCAGCTCACTAAGCCCTGTTACACCTTCAGCTACCGACATCTCTTCCCCCTCATCATTGTCCCACCACTACTCCCCAGGCTCTGAGCCTTCTTGATAATACCAAAGTTGCAGGTTCAATCCCTGTATAGGATAACTGCATATTCCTGCATTGCAGGGGGTTGGTGGTCCTCAGGGTCTCTTCCGCCTCTACCATTCTATGATTCCCTTGGGGGTTCCCCAGCTGGTACCTCCCACCATTCCTCTGCATTCAACCAGTCCATGACACCTCCTTTGAATGTGACCACTGTAACCGTGAACCACTTCTCTATTTGATTCTGGAACCCTATCATCCAACAAGCCAATCAGTACTTTGATATGACAAAACAAGTACCTTAACTATGATTCCCCATCCTCTCTTTGTAAAATACATATCTTAATGACACCCCATTGCCTTACCTATAACTATTTTTCCCCTTAAGATTTTCAAGAGCAGTTAGCAGCCTGTGGTGAATGCAATGTGCAGGGATTAAGAGTCTCTTCTGCTTTAAGAAAACTAAAGGCATACAGATGTACAATACCATGGGAGTACTTTAGATATAAGAGGAGGCCTGCTAATGCAACATATACACTCCACAGCCAAGGGAAATGTTCCAGGGGCTATTGGCTAAAGGCCTTTGAACATACCTCCTTCTTGGGCAGAGTGTATGGTAGGGATAAATATTTCAGACCTTTAAACTGGAACAAAGTACTGTAGTTAAAGCCTGGCACCCCAGATGGTGGACCGTGCAGAAAACTCTAGGGCTTCATGAGCAAACTCAGCTCAAGTGATTTTTGTCTAGATGCAACTCTGACTTGAGTTAGAATTGCATCTAAGAGAAACTATGTTTATGAAGTTAACTCAACTATGCAACATGATACCACAGAGAATTCTTTGAAATAATTCTCTCAATTTTGAATACACCATTACATTATTCCATTTTTGTAGTTGTTTTAAAATAGGTATCAGACAAATTGGTATGCAGGGTGCAATTTAACACATTGCTGGGGGGGGGTATGTGTCAGGGGAATGAGGTCTCCTTGCACAATGGGACTTCCCCCTAAACCTCTTCTGGGGGTTCCCACCACTCTCCAGAGAAGATTTAGGGTGGCACAGGGGGAAGAGAGGGGGGAAGAAGGCCATATTTTGTGAACACAACGTAGTTGCATCCTGCCCTTTGCATCCAAGTATTTTTTGCTGCTTTGGTATCAAATGTTCATGCCAATATATGAATCTTACTCAAACTTCAGGTTTTAAACAGAGCTTATCATAATTGAATTCAACACTTTCCTGAAAAATTCGTTAGAATATTTCAGAAAACTTTTTAAAAAAACAACCTTTCTCTAACTGCATTTGAACATGAAGCTATTGCCTAATTTTTTTTAAAAAAGCTACACGGATTAGTAAAACTGCTTAATGAAAGAGAGACATTAAATGCACGTACACATTGAGGTATTAATTTTATCAGCAGCTATACTTTTTTTTTCTCAAAGAAGCAAAACTAGTCAGCCAAATATGGATTAAATAACTTGATTCAAGACACGCTCACTTTTATTCCTCTCTCTTGTTCTCAATTTCATTTTCATTTTCTTCTCCCTTACTCTGACCTGTTGTATACCAGAAGACTGATCGCAGTGCATCTAAACTGCATTATGTGCCTATGTGTGAATCTGGTTTCTGAAATGAAGAAATTAGTTTTATGAAACTAATACAAGGGCAGAACATGTAAAAACAACTACTTTCATTTCCCCCCATTAACAGTCATTCTACATCTGTACAGAGGCTGCAGAGTATGCAACTAAATACTCAAGAGGTATCATCAATTTAATTACATTCTTGACTCAAAAAATCATAAGAAATTGCAGAGGAAAAACTTCACTTGCTTACATTATGGGAACTAATATCACAGTCACTAATCAGCTGACAGAAGTGTTTTTGGGAGGAAAGAAAACTTACTTGAAGGTTCAATATAGTAACTAAATTTAGGGGTATGACCCAGAGTTGTTTTTAAGCCTGGTCACCTATGGCATGTAAGATTAAAGCAGGCCTGAACTTTTTTCAGTTTTACTTTTTGTGTCAAAAGGCACAGAGAACCAGCTCAAGATATTTTGGAACTGGGCCAAGGAACAAGATCGCACTTTCCCTTCCACATACAGAAGCTGACTGGATTGCCAGCAGAGTCTTACTTCAACAGTGATAACAAGATGGCATCTTCCACTGCATCTGAGGGCAAGCTGAAGTGGCAGAAGACAGGTCATGTGGCACACCTAGCTCTCCCTTCCAATAGCTAGAGGTAGATACCAATACCCAGCCATCGGCCATCTCACACTAACTAATAGTAGGGCTGATTTGGAACAGAGACATTCAACAAGGGAGAATGGGGTTTTTTTTGTCAAACTGCAAAGAAAATTACTCAAAAATCTAAAGCTTTTCTCTGTTTTCAATGAGACTTATAGCACCTCAGTTATCTTTAAACTGAGCTTCAACTGGATAGCCCTTCAAAGAAAGGATTCCTTCAAACCGTTCTGTACTCAGACAGTCCTTCAAAGACAGGTCTCTCTTCTGCAGGGTCCACATGACCACCCTAGAACCTATATATTTTGTATACACATCAGGTCTTTCAGACTGTAATCTGACTCAAAACAGGGCCCCAAAGCAGGGACATCAGTTCCAGTTCCAGTTCCACTCCCTGCTCTATGGATGCTCAGAGAATGTTCATGCTGATGCTGACGGTCACATTGAGAGGAGGCTGACCATTGGGAGGAGGCCAAGCCCAGAGCCCGGCTCCATGTTCAACCTCCTCTGCCCCCTCAAGATTGGGAGCGGTGCTCAGCTTCTTCCCAAAAAGCAATTGGGGCGGCTGAAGACACGTCAGCACTATAGAGTTGATGTCTATGTTGGGGGCACCTGCCCTTTTGATCTCTTTCCCATTACAGTGGTACCTCAGGTTACATACGCTTCAGGTTACATACGCTTCAGGTTACAGACTCTGCTAACACAGAAATAGTGCTTCAGGTTAAGAACTTTGCTTCAGGTTGAGAACAGAAATCGTGCTCCGGCGGCGCAGCAGCAGCGGGAGGCCCCATTAGCTAAAGTGGTACCTCAGGTTAAGAACAGTTTCAGATTAAGAACGGACCTCCGGAACAAATTAAGTACTTAACCTGAGGTACCACTGTATATCACACAGAGACACTGTTTCTGGTTCAGCACCTCTTCCAACAAGTTTTTTAAATGAGTATTTTTACCCCCGTTTGTATCTGTAATAAATAATATTAATATTAATATTAATAATAATTTATTTGTGCCCTGCCCATCTGACTGGGTTGCCCCAACCACTCTGGGGCGGCTTGGACTTGAAATGTTTTTTATGTATGTTTTTACTGCAATTTTTTGGGAAGATGTTTTATGGGAAGTGATTCATAAATGACATAAATTAAACAAATAAACTCATCCTGGATTCTGCAACATTTGGATTTTGGGAGCAGCACTGAGATTTCCCCCTCTCCCTTCAAAAGCATACCTTTCATTTTACAACGGCACATTACTGTCAAGCACTCCTCATTGTGAAGGATGCCATACCTGAGATTTTAGTGCTCAAAAATGGCCAACCCTGTAATATCAGGTCAAAGGTGGAGATTCAGAAAGGTTCCATTGTCACTAAAACAGGCCAATACCTCAGCAGAAACTTCAGCTGAAAAATTAGTTGTCAGGTTCCTTTTATCTTTTTGTCAGGCTAGCACACCCTGCATGAGTACCACAGAGACAAACAGCTGGGAAGATGAGCAGGTTTACACAGGTAAGTTTATTACCTCATGGCTTATCAGCAATTAAGTCAGGAAATAACTACACCATGACATAGTGTGGCAGTTGGTATGGAACTCTGTTCTTGTCTTGGGAAACTTTCAAGTTTCATTTACTACCTGTTGAAGAATTTGAGTGTAGCCAATGGCAACAATTGAGAAAGCACTGACTAACAAAACTTCAGTCAACCAATCAAAGCAGGCCTAGATAAGAGGAGTCATTTATTAACAAGAAATCTCAGCAAACCTCAGATAATGTCAGTTAGAAAGATAATACTATCACCCAGTTCAGAATTAAAGGGACAGCCTACATTAGCTATATGCTTCCCTTGAAACAAAGCACACAATTTCAGCATGCAGGAATTTTCTTTAATCTATCTAACAACACTGCAGAAAAATCAATAGACTGGGCAACATTAAGCATACAGATAGTAAATGTCTGTAGTCTCAAGTGACGGAGAAAAAAACATTCACTATGGAACTAAGAACACTTTCAAACTTTCCCCCAATGCCTTGTTTAATCCCATTAGAATGGATCCAAAGTGTTTGCTGCATGAATGGAGCTTACCCTCAGTTCAAAGACTAAAAAAATAGGAATCAAGCCATTGATTTTGATTTAAGAATATCTGCTGTACAGATGTGTCCCCAACAAGAAACACGTTCCAGCGATTTGTTTTTGTGTATCTTCGACAACACATTGGATTGAGTTTATACTGTGCAATCTGGCCCAGCATTATCATGCAGCACCCGTTGGCAGTCAGCTGGGTTCAGTGTCGCACTGATGCCTGTCCAGGGGGTTCTGCATGGGGCTATGAGCTATCTACACTTCCCACAGTGTTCCCAATATACCAGACAGGTAACTCTCCCAGGGTCCACCAAAGGACACTTCATTGAAGGCCACCTCTAAACAGTGACCCAGATGAACATCAGGTCTGTCTGCTGTGAAATGGTTTCCCATGCGCATAAATGCAGAACTGTGCTTCTAAATAAGGATTCATACCCAACAAAGCCATGCCCCTGATGTTCCAACGTTTTGGAATGTTGTTTTAATGTGAAGGCTGAACACATATGTACATACATGTCACTTTTTTCTTTTTTTTAAAGGAAAAAGTGTTTAAACAAAAAACAAGCCCACAACCCTGAAAGTCACTTTTGAGACTGTGGGAGAGCTATCTGCGCTGAGGTTATGCTCTGAAATGTGGAGCAATATGGAATTTCCAGGGTTTGGGCTTTTAACCATTAACTCAAATGTAAATCCAGTTTCTAACCACTGTGCAAAGAATGCTGATGGGTGAAATGTGCCTATTCACTTTTATGGGAAATGTGCTGAACTTTCAATGGGAGTGTTAAGAAAGGTGGAAATGTATGTGTAACCCAACTGAAAGCTTTGGCACATCTCTGTATTTGTGCCTTGCCCTTTGCATTGATGAAAATAGTTTAAGAACAGCATCAGACTTAAAGAAGTAAAACACATTTAACATCAAATGGTATACATTTTAGTCAACTCTCATGCCCAGCAGAAATTCGTTGCCCCCCCCCACTACATACCTTACTGAAAATGTCATTGCACACCAAGGCCAGGTGTAAACCTACGCCTGGGAGATGCTGGTGGGGAATGTAGCTGCAAGTAGAATGTTAAATGAATACTGAATTCCTTACAATTTTGTCAGGTAAACTGATCAGTGTGTAAACTCATTGACAAAAGGCCAGGCCAAACCTATTATGAAAGCTCCAAATGAGTACGTATCTCAATAACAGGCATAAGTGAGATTTATCAGGAAAATGGGCTTTGGATAACATTCTGAGTGGGAATTTAAGGAATTATGACTACATTGGTACCCCTGGTTATGAACTTAATTCGTTCCGGAGGTCCGTTCTTAACCTGAAACTGTTCTTAACCTGAGGTACCTCTTTAGCTAACGGGGTCTCCTTCTGCCGCTGCGCCGCTGCCGCGTGATTTCTTTCCTTATCCTGAGGTAAAGTTCTCAACCCGAGGTACTACTTCCAGGTTAGTGGAGTCTGTAACCCGAAGTGTTTGTAACCCGAGGTACCACTGTATAGACTATTAGTGTAGGTCCTAGAAGGTATGGCTTATCCAATGAAATATTATTGTCCAGTTTGATAATTATTTATTTACGTCATTTATGAATGGCTTCCCAAAAAACATCCAAAAGGAATTTAACAATATGCAAACTATTCTAACAACCTAAAAAAGTATAGCCATTTAACTTGATATTTCTGGTTGCATTCTAATGCCATAATCTGGGCGGCTTCCAACAAAACATTAAAATACACTAATTCATTAAATATTAAAAGCTTCCCTAAACAGGGCTGCCTTCAGATGACTTCTAAGAGTCTGGCAGTTGTTCTCTTTGACATCTGCTGGGGGTGCGTTCCACAGGGCAGGTGCCACTACCGAGAAGACCCTCTGCCTGGTTCCCGGTAACTTGGCTTCTCGCAGTGAAGGAACCACCAGAAGGCCCTCGGCGCTGGACCTGTGTCCGGGTAGAACGATGGAGTTGGAGATGCTCCTTTAGGTATACTGAACTGAGGCCGTTTAGGGCTTTAAAGGTCAGCACCAACACTTTGAATTATGTTCGGAAACTTACTGGGAGCCAATGTAGGTCTTTCAAGACCTGTGTTATGTGGTCTCGGCGGCCGCTCCCAGTCACCAGTCTAGCTGCTGCATTCTGGATTAGTTGTAGTTTCAGGGTCACCTTCAAAGGTAGCCCCACATAGAGCGCATTGCAGTAGTCCAAGCGAGAGATAACCAGAGCATGCACCACTCTGGCAAGACAGTCCATGGGCAGATAGGGTTTCAGCCTATCTTTTCCCTGAAAGACCCAGCCACCAGTCAAGTGGGTATGGGCTCTATCCCCACTGTTTTCCCATCCTGTTTGCCTCTCCTTCCTGCTTGACGCCCTGGTTCTGGGTTCAGGCCTCAGGTGAATCCGGTACACAGCCCTGGTGATTATGGCAGCTTCCCAAAGCACTGCTGCAGTCCTGTATAGCTCCACTAGCACACACTTTTGGTTCACATATTCCTAACTTCATGTGATTGTGAGCATAAGCAAGTCTCCTGGATGGAATAAAGAGATGGCTGGAATTAAGAGAAGCTGCCATGTGTATAAAGCAGCCTTTGGGACAGGAGCATTAAAGGTAGAATCTCGTGGATCTAAAAACGAACACACAAATTTAGGTTCACATTTTCCAATATGCTTAGCAAATAGCAGCAGACCTATAAGGTTATAGATGAATGGATGATTCAAGTGCTCAGCATTTTGGAGAAGCATGCATTGTTCGGCAGAGCAGATGTACCACATTTCAGTTATAAGCCATTAATTCCTGCATTGTTTTCTCCTCACACC